AGCCATTTTTGTGATTTTCATTTTAAACAAAGCAACTAATTAATTAATTAATCCTAAAATGTAAACACAAAATCTAAATACAATGCATGGTATTTTTGGTATTTTTTAATTTTTAATGGAAATCAAATATGCACAAAAATGCAAATAATTAATAAAATTCTACAAAAAAATCCTACAAAATTGCAAAAATTAGGAAAAATTATTTTATGATGTTTTATGGGAGTAATTCATATAGGGAAAAATCACGTGCTCACACTAATAAGAAGTCAGTATGAAGCTCCCGCCGGAATGTATATGCATCAGAGGTGCAAGTACTATGTGGAGCTTTAAGGTATGGACGTGAATTCCACCTATGTGGAAGGAAGGTTATGAAAGCGACATAAGATACAATGCAAGATTTAAAGGTAAGGAAGTAAAGGTAAAAAAGGTCGAGATACTCAAGTCTAGAAGGTTGTGAATAGTACACACTTCAGATAGAGGGTTAAAAGCAATGTGATTGAGTATCCAGAAATGGTAGTGGTGTCGTCAGTAGCATATCTTCCAGCCTATGGTTTTCAGGTACCGAGAGGTCTAGTTGAGAGAGTAAAAAAGAGTTAGAGATGTTGTGATGTCTCACTTGGGGTTCCAAAATAACATAAGGAAATCTATGGTGCTAGTAATTTAAAGGAAGGTTGCGTGTAGTATAAATGGAAAAGATGGAATGCTGCCTTGATAGTAGAATGAGAGTGTAATTGTGATAAATCATAAAAGAATGACGTTTAAGCCTTTGATTGATTAATGATTTAAAGAAAAGGGATTTCATGAATTGTACATGACTAGAATACCCCCATAAGATGAATCACGTTGAGATGTTATGAAATAGAGTTATTGAAGTATGTTATCGCCCTCACTTCAGATATTCCTCGATGAGACGTGAGCCCTAGTGACAGTGTTACATAAGAGGTCAAGTTATCAGTGGTAGATTATAGATAAATATTAAGGTGAATCAACAATAGATGGATAAAATTTCCAAAGTATAAAATGAGATTAGGCTGTCATGAACAGTGAGGAAGTATTAAAGGACTTAGATTTATACATATAGGATAAGCAGTGAGAGGGCAACCTGGAGTTGGGTAGTAGACCGTGGTAATAATAAATCGAAGTAAGTGTTATGGTATAATATAACCTACCTAGATGTAGTAAATCCATAAGTAGAGATAACTGAGTCTATGAAACAAGATATAAAAATAGTCGTAAGTTCGACAAAGTACCAAGCAAAGGACTTCAGTACACCTATAAATGCCTAGAGGGATAGCTTGTCATAGTTCTGTATATGCTCACAAAGTGAGGCATAAAGATTGGATAATAGCTGGAGGAAAAAGAAGAGAAGAGTCATATAGGCACACATACAGGGATAAAGTCGTACAGTCTGCACAACAGAAGGTAGCAATAGTAAGGAGATTGGATGAATTACGACCACGGGTCATGGTATAAGAAAGAGGCCAAAGGGGGTAATGCCCCGGGCTTTGGATTTATTCACAGAATAGTTGCCTAGATGTGAAGGACAGTACTAAAGTATTCTTAAGAGCTATAGGTTATGAGACTAATAAGCACATCAGTCAACATTCGAGGGCGAATGTTCCAAAGGGGGGAGTGATGTTACACCCCATATTTTCGTACGTGAGAGTACGTCTAAAGTTAATTGATGTAAGCTCATAAATGAGATCATCTTTGAAAGTACATAAAGTAAGTTAATCATGTTAACTTGGAGGTTACAAATATTTAAGATCATGAACTGCAAGTACCAAGAGGGTTGGAAGGCTTAGAAGCTAAACGAATTGAAGAAAATAAGTTTATGTACTTTTGGGGTGAGACTAGGGTGCTCAAAATGATAAGGAGGTTATATTATGAGTTATTTTAGTCTTATGATAGTCGTGCGTTATGTTTTGAAGTCAAGTGAGTTGTGGAACAAAAGTTGGCAAAGGTCATCACAAGTTACATTCATAAATATGCTGAAAATTAGGTCAAATGTAGCTGAGCATTTCTCCCTGTGTACTTGGAATTACAGGATGATATACCTACCAAATCGAAGATCTACGAGTCTAATTTCTAACGCATTAAACTGTTTGTTGATACGACATCGGAGTAAAGAGGTTTACATTTTTGCTGCGCAGATTGCATAGGTGACAAGTAGGTGTGTCACCTACTTGCTTAAATGAAAGGACGAAATACGTCCAAAAATGAGCTATCTTGGGTCGTCCAAAGAACCTTTTTAAGGGCTGATTTCCTTCAGATATTACACTCATTATAGAGAAAAAATCAAAGATAAGCCCCTGCAAACTTCACTAAAAAATTCAACACATAACCCTAAATGATTTTCTCTTCTTTTCAAGTTCTAGTTGGAGGAAAACCTAAGGGTTGAAGAACTAAGATAAACACTTCCTTCATTTTGGCATGATCTCGTAACTAATCTGTTTGATAACGAGACATAAAGAGCAGTTCATATTCCTGAATTTATGTACATTATCCTAGTCTCATAAGTTAACAGTATTCTCCTTTATCGGGACTTTATATTCATTTAAGTATTGTCTTATTCCAGTCAAGAGAGGAGAGTCTATATATATATATATATATATATATATATATATATATATATATATATATATATATATATATATATATATTCAACACCAACGAGCTATAATCGGTGGGCAGGCCCCTATAGGGCAGTATTACAGTATTTTCACCACCATCGAGCTATAATCGGTGGGCAGGCCTCTATTAGGCAACCTCTAATCGGATGGTAAGTTATATACTAAGCCTACTAGGGCCGAGCGCCTATGAGACATCCCAGAATGGCCGAGATACAGAGCCTTGTATGGTCGAGCGCCTACGAGCGATCCTACTATGGCAGAGGAGTTATACGTACCGAATCTTATAGGGCCAGAGAACTATTTTACTTACTATATTAAGAGTGTTGAGTCAGTATCAGCAGGTAAGCATATCTTCATATTATCTTTTACTCCTAGTTACTTTCAGTTTTTATATTATTAGTTTAGTTTCATTTTTCAGTTATTCTGTTGTGTTACATGCTCAGTACATTATTTCGTACTGATGTCCCTTTTGCTGGGGACACTATATTTCATGCCTGCAAGTACTGATAGACAACTGGATAGACCTTCCTAGTAGAGAGAGTCAAACATCAGCTTGGTTGGTAAGCTCCACTTCCTCGGAGTTACCAGGTCTAGATGTTGGAGTCCATTTTACATATACAGGTTTGATAGGTAAGTCGAAGCCATGTACCGACCATGATATAGTTAAGTTAATCTAGAGGCTTGTAGACGAATCGTGTGTATTTTGTATATCAGTATTGTGGCTTTGCTAGCAATGTGTATATGTTTGTTTGGTATTACTGGTTGGAGAAATTCATGGCGGTCATGTTGTCCTGCACAGTTGTGTATATGAGCTCTTGGGTATGTTTACCCCTCAAATGAGAGAGATGTTATTTTCAGATTATACAGAATATGGCCTCATCGGCCTTGATTGGTATTGTCTGTTTGAAGGTAGGCCTCATTGGCCTAAGTTGAGGGTTACCCCTCCAAAGTTCACAGTTACAGAGTGGTACGATCGGACTGAGTATAGCACCGTGTGCCTTTCACGCCTTCTCAGGTTTGGGGTGTGTCAGGAAACCTCCTGAGGTGATATGGTTTTTGTGTCACTTGGAGGCTCTTGAGGTGATATGGTTATAATATCATTATATCTTCCTAAGAGGTGTGGCTCTATTCACCTTGATTAGAAAGTTAACATGTTTATCATACACGTTTGATCCATATTGATGGAAATTCTAGCACATGTGATCATAGAGAGAATTCATACCTTGAAATGATGTGATGCCTACTTTGATTTTGTTAGTGTTCTCCATTGAGACCAGATGAATTGTTATATGGGTCATTTTATCCTTGGCTATGTGAGTAGTGTGGCCACTACAGAGTCTATAATCTTTTAAAAAAAAATATTTTTCTCAATACTCAAAAGTTTTAAAATTGTTTTCTTGTCCTCAATTAACATTGGCATCCAAATGGGAGAATGTTGTAATTTGGACTTGCATTAATTGGTTATAGCCCAAAAGGATAGTGACGTGATCCAAGTAGTGGATAAATAAAAGGCCTAATATTAAATACTATGTGTGTGGATAAGTGGGGCTCAATAACAATTGACATGTGATGGGTAGACATTCTTTATAAATAGAGGCTAACCCCCTTTTTCCCTAGCTATTAGAAAACCCTAGCGTATTCTGCCTCTTAAATACGTGGTAAAGGAAGATGTCCCGTCGGTCAAGTTCTCCGGGCCGTGAGAGCGCTTAGTTAGTGAATCGTGAAAGTTGGTCTCAGGCTTAATCGTCGTTTGTTGTCGTTGCTGAATCCATGGAGTTTAATGGTACGCTTCCTTAGACGACTTTAACTCAAGATTATGATTTTATATCTGTCTAATTATGTCTTAATCTCTGCTATAGTTGCGATTAATTTATCTTACAAAAACAATCCAAAATATATTTTGTATTCACCGTCATTTTTGCACTGTTTTAGACAAAACCTCAAAGTTCTGAGCACACACGGGGTTACAAAAGCATTGCATTATGAACAAACAACGAAGTTTAAGCTAACAGGACTTTTCTTTGTGTTTCTTCTAAGATCAAAACAACAAGGCATTAAAGCTTTAATTCCCAGCCTTAATTAGCTTACCCTATGTTCTAGATATAAATAAGATTTGTGGTAACTAAATAGGAGTATTATATAAAGTCCATAACTAAATACACACAAGCACATATGTGTCTGTGTCTTGCGTGTGTGTGTGGACATTATGGGTATTTCCTTAGTGGAGAAATCTTCACTTATTAGCTCATCAAAGGTGTTTTTGCATCCTAATTTTTATCAGAAAGAAAACCAGTTATGTGTCGGCCGACAGTTTCAAGGGAGGAGGAATTTGCGAACAAGGAGAGTATTGAGGCAGAGTCTTATAGCGGCTATAAGTGAAAATTTGATCAAAGTTGTACCTGAAAAGGCAGTAAAATTCAAAGTGAGAGCCGTAGTTACAGTGAGGAACAAGAACAACGAAGATCTGAAGGAAACAATTGTTAAGCATTTGGATGCTTTCACTGATAAATTTGGAAGGAATGTTTCCTTAGAGCTCATTAGCACTGACATCGACCCAAGTAAGTATCACACTTCCAATAACCTGATCAAAGGTCTCTTATTAAGATTTGGCTTTATCTGTTGTGAACTGATTCTATTTCATTTTAATATATATAGATACAAAAGGGCCGAAGAAAAGCAACCAGGCAGTGTTGAAGGATTGGTCTAAGAAATCGAACTTGAAAACAGAAAGAGTAAATTACACAGCAGAATTTGTGGTGGATTCGAATTTTGGGACTCCAAGTGCGATCACAGTGACTAACAAGCACCAACAAGAGTTCTTTCTGGAGAGTATTACGATTGAGGGATTTGCATGTGGTCCAGTTCATTGCCCCTGTAAGTTTCAGGAGCTCTCTCACCAGATAAAGCTCGCGTCACTTATGATTATAAATGGTTCTTTAATTTCTTTACTAGTCTAAGATACAACAACAATAACAACAACCCAGTATAATCTCACTAGTGCGGTCTGGGGAGGGTAGAGTGTACGCAGACCTTACCCCTACCTCTAAGAAGGCAGAGAGGCTGTTTCCAGTAGACCCTTGACTCGGAAAAGATAAAAGGACAACAACAAGCATATCAATCGGAAAACCAGAGCAAAAATACAAAAGTTACAGTAAGTACTGTAATCAGAAAGCCGAAACGAAAGCAATAACAAGTTATAACAGAAGTCAAGGGATACAACAATACACAAACATGACAACACTCGGCTACCTATCCTAACCATTTACCTTTATTCTTAACTTCCATACCTTCTATGTCCTCAGTAAACCTTTACCTTTATTCTCAACTTCCATACCTTCCTATCCATGATCTTGTCCTCAGTAAGCTGGAGCACTGCCATATCCTGCCTAATCACCTCTCCCCAATACTTTTTCGTCTTTCCTCTACTTCTCCTCAAGCCCTCCAGGGCCAACCTCTCGCACCTCCTCACCGGAGCATCTGTGTCTCTCCTCATCACATGCCCGAACCATTTAAGTCTCGCCTCCCGCATTTTGTCCTCCACAGGGGCCACGCCAACCTTATCCCGAATAACTTCATTTCTAATTCTATCTAACCTGGTATGCCCCCACATCCATCTCAAGATCCTCATTGCAACTACCTTCATCTTATAGACAAAGGAGATCTTGACTGGCAAACACTCCGCCTCATACAACATAGCTGGTCTAATAACTGCTCTATAGAACTTACCTTTAAGTTTTTGCGGCACATTCTTATCACACATAACACCAGAAGCGAGCCTCCATTTCATCCACCCCGTCCCAATACGATGTGTAACATCCTCATCGATCTCCCCATTCCCTTGAATAACTGACCCAAGGTATTTAAAACTTTCTCTCCTAGGGATGACTTGAGAATCAAGCCTCAAATCTTCATCCACTACCTGAATCGCGTCACTGAACTTGCACTCCAAGAATTCCATCTTAGTCCTGCTCAACTTGAAAACTTGAAACCTTTAGAATCTACGGTTTGCCTCCAAACCTCTAACCTCTCGTTAACACCGGTCTCTTCAATCAGCACAATGTCATCTGCAAATAACATGCACCACGGCACCTCCCCTAGAATGTGGTGCGTCAGAGTATCGATCGCCAAGGCAAATAGAAATGGGCTAAAGGTTGACCCTGGTGCAACCCCATCACAACTGGGAAGTGTTCGGAGTCCCCTCCTACGGTCCTCACTCGAGTCTTAGATCCATCATACATGTCCTTAATAGCTCTAATATATGCAACAGGAACACCTCTAGCCTCGAAATATCTCCACAGAACCTCCCTCCATACTTTATAGTAAGCATTCTCTAAGTCGATGAACATCATATGTAAATCCCTCTTCCTCTCCCTATATTGCTCCATCAACCTCCTAACAATATGGATAGCTCCGTAGTTGAACGTCCCAGCATATATCCGAACTGGTATTCAGAAATAGTCACGATCCTCCTCAACCTCAGCTCTACCACTCTCCCCCAGACTTTCATAGTATGGCTTAGTAACTTGATGCCCCGATAGTTGTTGCAACTTTGGATATCACCCTTGTTCTTATATTGCGGGACCATCGTACTCCATCTCCATTCTTTGGAAATCTTATTCGTCCTAAAAATATCATTAAATAACCCAGTGAGCCACTCCAAGCGCGCCCTACCCACGCTCTTCCAAATTTCCACCAGGATCTCATCTAGACATGTCGCTCTCCCCCTGCTCATTTTATGCATAGCCTCCTCAACCTCCGCGACTCTTATGCGCCTATAATACCCAAAGTCTCGATGACTCTCCGAGTGCTCTAAGTCACCTAGCTCAATGTTCCTACCTCTCTCTTCGTTCAAGATTTTATGAAAGTAAGTCTGCCATCTTCGGTGAATAAGTGCCTCCTCCAACAAAACTCTGCCTTCCACGTCCTTGATGCACTTCACTTTGTCCAGGTCACGGGCCTTCTTTTCTCGTACGTTGGCTAGTTTGTAAAGCTTCCTATCCCCTCTTTTGCTCTAAGTTCTTCGTAAAAGCGATCAAACACAGCAGTCTTGGCTGCTGTGACCGCTAACTTTGCTTCATTCTTAGCTATCTTATACCTCTCCCAATTTGTCCTCTTTTCCACCTTGTCCACGCTCTCTAATTACTAGATATATGCCGCTTTATTGGCTTCCACTTTTAGTCGAACCTCGGTATTCCACCACCAATCCCCTCTGTGGCCACCAGACGAGCCCTTTGAAACCCCTAATATCTCTCTAGCAGCCTCCCTAAAGCAATTTGCAGTCACAATCCACATACCACTCGTGTCCGCACTACTACTCCAAGCTCCCGTGTCCAGCAACTTAACCACCAACTCCTATGCTCTGTCTTTAGCCAAATCTCCCCACTTGATCCTAGGTAGACCAAACACAACCCTCTTTCTCTGCTTCCTCATGATCTCTAAGTCCATAACCAGAAGCCTATGCTGAGTTGTGAGGTTCTCACTCCGGATGATTTTGCAGTCTGCACACAGGCCTTCATCAAATTTCCTGAAGAGTAGATAATAAATCTGGGTCCTAGCCACCAAACTCTGAAAGGTGACCAAGTGCTTCTCCTTCTTCGGGAAATGTGAGTTAGCTATCACCAAATCGAAAGCCTTAGCAATATCCAGCAGTGAAGTTCCACCTCCATTTCTAACTCCGAAACCAAAGTTGCCATCCACATCATCATAGCCCCCAAATGTCTCCCTAATATGGCCATTGAAATCTCCTCCTATGAAAGGCTTCTCTATGTGCGAAATACCACGCACAACCTCATCCAAATCCTCCAAGAAACGCCTTTTGACCTCTTCGTCCAAACCTACTGTTGATACCCAATTTTTTCTCATATATTTTCAAATACATACATACATACATATATATATATATATATATATAATTTTTTTTATAGTTTTTTTATAGTTTTTATATATATATATATATACATACATACATACATTCAGAATATTACATATGCAGTTATAAACATGCATAAGTATTTTTATAATTTTTTTTATAGTTTTAAAAGCTCCAAATCAATTTATTTCTTCTCCTTTTATTATATAAATATCCAATAATTATTCTTCTTACTACTTTTATGATGATTTAGCCATCTAAATTCATTATTTATGCCAACATAGCGTTTGAATATTTTTAGTACATTTTTGTAATTACATTTATATTTTTTAGCTAAATTGCATATCTTTGCAATAATAGCCCTTACTAATGTATAATTACATTCTTTATGCATAAAATGATCTTTTATACTTTTAATTTTATTTCATTTTAGTGCACAAAGATTTTTTTTGGTACTCATTTATTATTTTTTATAAATTATTTAGTCATTGAAATTAGCTATTTAAAATCTGGCCCTATTTTCTATTTCAATTCTGATCCAAATTTGACCCAATATCCAGCCCAATATTAACCTAAACCTACCTAGCCCAAACCTTAATGCCCGACCCGTCCCCAATCTCATTCAATCTCGGTCGTTGATCATAGAGATCAATGGCCACAGTTAACTCCTTCCTTTTTTAGTTCCAAACGACCCCCAAACCCTCTCATTTTCACCAACCACCACCCTGAAATCCCTTTCCTCTCAAAAAGCTCTCAAGCCCTAACCCTAATTTACCCACATCACCAATCATCTACTGCCTTTCATGGTGTTTCCCCACCACCACCAGGCCCTTTAAATGGCCCTCTCGTACGTTGNNNTTTGGGACTACGGGTTAGATTCCCGGGAGATCCCCCTGCACATTTACTTTGGGACTACGGGTTAGATTCCCGGGAGATCCCCCTGCACATTTACTTTGGGACTGCGGGTTAGATTCCCGGGAGATCCCCCTGCACATTTACTTTGGGACTACGGGTTAGATTCCCGGGCCTTTAGAATCTACGGTTTGCCTCCAAACCTCTAACCTCTCGTTAACACCGGTCTCTTCAATCAGCACAATGTCATCTGCAAATAACATGCACCACGGCACCTCCCCTAGAATGTGGTGCGTCAGAGTATCGATCGCCAAGGCAAATAGAAATGGGCTAAAGGTTGACCCTGGTGCAACCCCATCACAACTGGGAAGTGTTCGGAGTCCCCTCCTACGGTCCTCACTCGAGTCTTAGATCCATCATACATGTCCTTAATAGCTCTAATATATGCAACAGGAACACCTCTAGCCTCGAAATATCTCCATAGAACCTCCCTCCATACTTTATAGTAACGCATTCTCTAAGTCGATGAACATCATATGTAAACTCCCTCTTCCTCTCCCTATATTGCTCCATCAACCTCCTAACATATGGATACGCTCCGTAGTTGAACGTCCCAGCATACTATCCGAACTGGTATTNTAATGCCCGACCCGTCCCCAATCTCATTCAATCTCGGTCGTTGATCATAGAGATCAATGGCCACAGTTAACTCCTTCCTTTTTTAGTTCCAAACGACCCCCAAACCCTCTCATTTTCACCAACCACCACCCTGAAATCCCTTTCCTCTCAAAAAGCTCTCAAGCCCTAACCCTAATTTACCCACATCACCAATCATCTACTGCCTTTCATGGTGTTTCCCCACCACCACCAGGCCTTTAATGGCCTCTCGTACGTTGGTATCGCCATCTCTAAGGTCCTCAAGGGACCAGGATCAGTCCGCTTGCATCTATGGCCCTTTCTCGCCTGTTTCAGGCTGTTCCGGTTTGATTCCGAGTAAGATCTTCCTATATCGTCCTAGATCTATGGGTTTCTAAGCATGCTTCTTCACTTCTGTGCTGTTCTTCTCGAAACCCTAATTTCTTCCTTCTGAGCTTCTTAGATCTGTATAGATCTGAGATGGTTTTGACCTATTTCATATGAGTTTTGCAAGAACCTTTTGATTCTTTACAAGAATCGTCTGATTTTCGAATGATTTTTCATTTTTCTCTAAACTAGGGTTTCCGGAAATTTCTTTTTTCAAAACATTTGAAAATTTTGAGTGTTTAATCTTCTGTTTCCTATATGTTTTAACCGATTTCGTTAGGTTTTCTCTAACCTTAACTTGTTTATACTAAAAGCCCTAATTTTTTGACATTCTTTGTTTGGTTTTTGAGTACTTGTGTACTGACTTTGTTCTTGCCTTGGTTCTTGTGATTTTTCTTTATCCATTTAGATGTCTCGTGATTTTCTTATCCAATATGCCTCTACTGAGTTTCTTGATTCAACTTTTCTACTAATTCTATATGTCTATGTTCATTCTGACTATTCATGGTAAGACTATATTTTTTCTCCTTAAATCAGGGTTGTTTGGAATTTTTGATTTACCGATTTGCTTCGTTAAAACCTGTGTGTTGAATCCGAACTATTCCTTTCTTGCCTATTTGAATTGTCTGTGATATTTGCTGGACCTTTATGTGATTTTCTCTTAAACCCTTGATTATTCTGAAGTTCTTATTTTTTGTTTGATTTGGACTCTTTTCCTTAACAAAGCCTTTGATTCTTACTGCCCTACTCGGTTTGATTGAACTTCTTGCCTTAATTATCTTTCTCTTGCCTTATTTGTTATTTGCTGATTCTTGCCAATTGTTTCCTTAACTGAAATCCTGTTCATTCACCCCTAATTACCTACTCTATACCCAAGTCTTACTTGATTCCCTTCCTTAAATACTTGTCCTGCTTTTACCGTTGATTGATTATCCCTTGATTAAGGGGAAGACATACTGATTTTATGTGTGTGATTGATTCTGTAAATTTCCTTAATTGCTACATGATTGATTCTTTTACCTTATTTTATTTAACTCTCGACTATTATATATGCCTTTACCTATTCTCACTTCTGGACATGAATACTAGTTCCTCCACACTCTGACACTCTCAAAAGCTCTCTATTCTCTTTTGTTACTTGCAATTCTCACTAACTTAGCCGGCTGTAAGCCAAGGCTGGCTATTTGCACCATCTCTGCTATATACCTTGTATT